AACTGATTCACGAACCCACAGGGCCAGGGACCCTCAGAAAGAGGCCAGCCTCTACCCAGGGTGTCTCTGGCCTCAGTGTGCTAGAATACCTGGGAGGTGTCAACCGAGCAGGTCACCCTAGGTCAGGGACATGTGGTTTTCAATCCTTTATGGGCGGTTAGCTGTCGCACAAAGGGAAAAACGTCCTAGCCATAGACAGACTCCTAACTGCGGCCACAGCCTGTCTGAGCCACAGACCCAAATGACATCCACAAAGAGAGCCCTCGGTCCAGGCACACCACACGCACTGACTCCCAACACCAAGCACAGAAGAACCCCCACCCAGTCTGAGTCCCCAGGACAATCCCTGACCTCTTCCTCTGCTCCCAGCTCTGACCCTGCGCTTGGGGTCTGGGCAGTAAAGTCACAGGCCGGGAAATTCCTGCGCTGAGCTCAAAGAGGAGAACAGAGCCCAGGGAGGAGGAGCCAGGGCATCTGCGGACTGTGGGCCGCTGAGTTTTCCCTGAGGCTGCCTGAGGCCCCTCCCAACAGCCGTGATAGGATGAATGCAGTCGGGGCACGCACCAGGCGGATGCTCATACATTGTTTTTTGAAAGACTATGTTAAAAATAATCCCTGCTGTGGTCCAGATCCCTGAGCACCCCTGCCCTTTCCACATGTCCTGACACTCAAGTCCTCCCACCTCATGAGTACCGTCTCCACCGTCTGACTTTCACCGTCTCCACCCTCTGACTCTATCTCCACTCACTCCTCAACAAGCGCTGTCTGCTGTCCACCCTAGCCCTCCCCAGGACTGGTCTAAGTTACACCCTAGCCCTCCCCAGGACTGGTCTAAGTTACACCCCAGCCACCGCCAGGCCTCAGGGCCCAGGGATCACTGCGCACTCTGCACTGTACCTGGCCTCTCAGCAGCAGCGGGAGCCGCTGCCCGCTCCACCGCCCTGTAAGGCTCCTCTCTCCACATGTCTTGGCTCCGCCTCCTCCGCAGAGACCCCAGCTCCAGTCTTTACCTGGGGGGTTCGTTCGAGGTGCCACCCCGGGAAACTCTTTTCTCGCTCCATCCTCTCCCTGAAGAGCTCACTCATCCCAACACTTCAATTCCCTTCTCTAGCAGAAGGGCTCCCAGGTTTTTACCTCCAGCCCAGAATCTTCTTCTGAGCCTCAGGCACATCCAGCTCAGTGCTTAGAACTGACCCCTGGACAAGACACGGTGGCTCACGCCTGTCATCCCAGCACTTTGGGAGGTCAAGGCAGGAGGATGGCTTGAACCCAAGAGTCTGAGACCAGCCTGGGCAACACAGCAAGACCTTGTCTCTACAGAAAATTTTTTAATTAGCTGGGCTTAGTGGTACGTACCTACATTCCCAGCTACCCAGGAGGCTAGATGGGAAGATCCCTTGAGCCCAGGAGTTGGAGGTTGCAGTGACCTAGGAATGAGCCACTATACTCCAGCCTGAGTGACAGACCATGACCCTGTCCCTAAAAACAGATTTTTTTTTTATTTAAAAAAAGAAGAAGAACTGAGTCCTCAGCCTCCCTCCTGCACCACCCCTCATCTCAGAGAATGGCTGTACCATCTATCTGGTGGCTCAAACCTGGGAGACATTCTCACCACCTCCTTCTCCCCAAATCCTCGTATCTCAACAATTTACCACCTGCACAATATGAGCTCCAACCACTTCCAAACAACCTCCCGCCCAGCTCTCCGAGTCAGGCTTCCGTCCTCTCCCCTGGATCTTGCAACGGCCTCAGCTCATCACCTCGGAGCTCTGTTCCCTGCCACGCATTTGCCATATGACAGCCGGGTGATTTTTCCAAAAGTCTCACCTAAATCCTCTGGCTAACATCTTTAATGACTCCAGTGCTCTTAACCAGGAATAAGCTCTAAAATCTTCAGCAAAATGTCCAAGTATCTGCTGGATCTGGTCCCTGCCTACATGGAGAGGTCCCAGCCTCTACAACTCTAACTCTGGCTTCAGCAGCCATTCTGCCCTCCTTCCGGTTCCTTCTCTCTCTCGGCTGCCTGAGGGAAAGTGCAGAGGCCCGCAGCAGTGCTTCTCAGGCTGTCATGTGTATACCAGTCACCGAAAATGACAGTACAATGCTGACTCTGATTCAGAGATCTGGAGGGGAACCTGAGACTCTGCAATTCTAAAGAGCTCACAAATGATGCAGGTGTTGCTGGTCCCTTGGCCTCGCTTTGAATAGCAAGAATCTAGAACACTCTCCTCCAGTCAGACTCCATCTTAGCCTAACTAGCACCTACCTGATTTCCAGGACTCAGCTTAAATATCATTTCCTAAAAATAGCCCTACCTGCAGCTAGGTGTGGTGGCTCATGCCTGTAATCCCAGCACTTCAGGAGGCCCAGGCGGGCAGATCACTTGAGTTCAGGAGTTCAAGACCAGCCTGGCCAACATATGGTGAAACCCAACCTCTACTAAAAATACAAAAATTAGTCGGGCATGATGGCGGGTGCCTATAATCCCAGCTACTCGGCAGGCTGAGACGGGAGAATCGCTTGAACCCGGGACACAGAGGATGCAGTGAGCCAAGACTGCACCACTACACTCTAGCCTGGGAGGCTGAGTGATATTTCATCTCAAAAAAAAAAAAAAAAAAAAAAAAAAGCCCTACCTGACCCTCTCTGAGACTAGGTTAGAGTCCCTCTACCTCCTAACCTTACATTTCTCCTGACCTATGCTGTGCTTCTCCTTTAGAACATTCATCACGTTTTGAAACCCTGTCTCTACTAAAAATACAAAATAGTAGTTGGGCATGGTAGCAGGTGACTGTAATCCCAGCTACCTGGGGGGCTGAGGCAGGAGAATCGCTTGAACCCAGGAAGTGAAGTTTGCAGTGAGCCAAGATCGTGCCATTGCACTCCAGCCTGAGCAACAGAGCAAGACTCCGTCTCAAAAAAAAAAAAAAAGAAAAAAGAAAAGAAAAAAGAATAGTCATTACTTTTAACTGTCTACCCCTCATTCCTGACATTACTTTTCAATGTTTGGCTCCCTAGCTAGACTACAAGCTCACCACAATATCTTGTTTACTACAAGGTCCCCAGAACCCAGCACTGGGCCTGGCAGAGGTGGGGTGGTGGAAAGCTCTGGGTCTGGCCTGCCCAGCATCCATGTCCCCTTCTTCTCATGGTAACACTTCAATTTTCCTTTAGGAGCTATCGCTCCCCAATTCCCAGTTCTTACGGTTTAGGTTGGTGGTCATGAGATCCAAGTTTGGCCAATCAGAGCCTTTCATCTCTCTGGTCATGGTGACTGGTTCAGGGACAAACATGTGACCTAAGCCAGCCAATGAGCTTCTTCCCTAGGACTCTGTTAGAACTACTGGAGGAAAAAATGCTTTTCTTTGCACTGGGGTTACTTCGAAGGACAGATGCTACCACCATCCTGCTGCCACAAAGGCAGAGCTTGACAAAGAATGAAACCAACAAGGAAGAGAGAAAGAATGAGACCGATTTCACAGATGCAGTCATGCCTGCCGTCTATGCCTGCAATTTCAAAGGCAAAATTTTCCCTTTTAAGCCAAAGGGAGTTATTTTCTGTCGCTTACAACCAGGAGTCCTAACTAATGTAAAATTCAAATAAATACTGGGTGTTGAATGAATTAAATGAGTGCATGAGTGAGTAAGTCTGCCAAGAGAATTCAGGGACTCCTCCTAGCAGACTGTCAGAGTTCTCCCTGCAAACTCCTGCCATCCGTGAGGACAGAGACAAGCATCCCACAGCCACCTTTGTAGACCAAGGGAAGACCCGGAACGGTGACAGGTTTCTTAGCATTATCCTGTGCAAATGAGCCAGCCCAGGACAACCTGAGCTGGGTGCTGGGGCAGGCACTAGGCTAGTGAAGGTGGTCTGGCTTCCATTGCCCCTTCCCTTGGTCAGCCCTGCACCCTGTCCTGCCCCCTGCCCACCACTGACCTCTTAACCCACCCAGGGCACGCTCTGGCTTCGCCTCTACACCCAGGCTCCTCACTGCATACCACATGGCTCTGTGCATGACGGGCATCGAATATGGGACAACAACAGGAAGATGGGTAGGTTTTATCTGCTTCCTATGAGGTGTCCTCTTGAAAAAGATTAGGTTCAGGGAAGAGGAGGGGTGATGCGGAGCAGGGAAGAAGCGATGCCTGATTATCTCCCTGTGAGCCACTCAGAGCACAGCCCCAGGACAGAGAGAGGAGCTGGCCTAGATGTCCCCTCAGATGACTCGGGAGGCAGGTGACTTGCTCAGTGCGAGTCCTCACTCACCCCATAAAGTGTGAAGAGGTAGGAAGGGAGGGAGGAGAGCATGCCTGCCAGCCCTTGCAGGAACACTGGCTGAGCCAAAAGTCTTCCCCGAGGACCAGCTGTGTGGCCATCCTGCAGGGGCATCGGACTGAAAATGACAGGGGAAGGTCATGGGAGCAGAAGGGCACTGCTCCCCCAGCTCCCGTCCAAGAGTGAGAAGGTCCTGGGCCTAGTGGCCTGGACTGTGGCCTCCCCAGGAAAAAGGCGTACGAAGGAAGTGCTGATAGGAAAATAACCGCCACCCAGACCCGAACCTCCAGCCAACCCTTCCACGGGACCTGGCGTGAACGGGGCCAGCACAGAAGGGCCAGCCAGAGGCTGGCAGACCAGCAGGCAAGTGCCCTTCAAGTCCCAGGAGGGCCACCGCCCAGCCCTGGGCAGTCCTTCTGGGCAGCTGCCTTCTGTCCCCCAATTTCCTCCTGGCTGGACCCCTCGTTCCCAAACTCCACCAAGAGTTCTGCCAACCCCAATTCAGTCCCAGTCAATGTCCTCACTGCCCCTCGACGCAGACACCCAAGTCTCTTGTCACACTTCCCCCACACTGGAGCTTAACTGTACACCTCCTCCGAGGTGTCAGGACACTCCACAGCCCGCCTGCTACAGGAGCCGCTGGGCCTGGAGCCAAAGCCACAGCAAGGCCCCAAGACTTCCCCACACGCTCCCCTCCCTGCCTTCCTGAATCTAAGCCTCTTACCTTCATGGTGGGAGGCGCAGTGAGAGGAGGGGACAGCGGCCGGTCTGGGAGGGTCACATCCGAGCTGTTGGCCAGATCCTGCTTCCTGTGAAGAGGCCAACAAACAGAAAAGAGGTGAGTAAGGACCTGCCTGCATCTTCCCTTCTCTCCTTCGCTGGGCTCTGGGACACAGTTTAACATACAATGCAGGCCAGGCGGGGTGGCTTACGCCTGGAATCCCAGCACTTTGGGAGGCCGGGCAGATCACCTGAGGTCAGGGGCTCGAGAACAGCCTGGCCAACACGGTGAAACGCTGCCTCTACAAAAATACAAAAACTAGCCAGGCATGGTGACGTGTGCCTGTAATCCCAGCTACTTGGGAGACTGAGGATGGAGAATCACTTGATCCCGGGAGGCGGAGGTTGCAGTGAGTCAAGATCATGCCATTGCACTCCAGCCTGAATGACAAGGCTAAAACTCTTTTTAAAAATATATATATACAATGCAGAAACCACAGGTGGGAGCATCTTCTTTACTCCAGATGCACCAAAATCTAAAGCAATGCTACTGTAAGCGTGGTCCCTAGACCACCAGCGTCACCTGGGAACTCATTAGAAATGCAGATTCCCAGGTACATGCCAGACTCTCCAGCAATAAGCTCAGGAATCCGTGTGCTAATGAGCTGTACAGGTGATTCTGCTGCACAGTGAAGTCTGAGAACCATGGGGCTAAAGAGACCCAGGACCAGGGCTGGGTGGGAGAAGAGGAGGGGAGAAATGGGGATTCATTCCCCCTCGGGCCCTTCTGCACACGCGCATGCGCACACATACACACACGCCCTAGCCGAAGAGCTGACCTTGGGAGACAGGCTGCCTGCCGTGCATCTGCAGGTAAAACTGAATTTAGTCCATGTGGGCTGGGGTGGTGGAGAGGCAGCTAAACAGAGCGTGTCACCATGGCAACGTGGCTGCGACAAGTTTGCCGTGCTCACACACTCCCCACTTTCCATCTGGCCCTCGCTGGTGACCAGGGAGTGCTGTTTATGGTCCCATCACCAGGCAGACGGTTTAGCATGGGATCAGACCTCAAAACAACGGCTGCACAACAAGGCCAGCTGGTCAGAGCCTGGGGAATCCCCGGGTGAGGGACTCCAGTGTCCCGGACAAGCCCTGGCTGCACCCAGGAGGGGACAAAGGGGCTGGGAGACCTGTGTGAAAAGCTGAAGAGGGCCGGGCTGTGCATTCAAAGTCCCCAACTTTACAAGTGTTTTCTCCTCTAGAACCTGCTCTGAAGCCGCTGAGTCAGCCCAACCCCCCGGTCCCGCATAAATGGCCAAAGCACCCTACTGCCAACTCCAGAGCACGCTTCTGCACATTTTCCCAGCCCAAGTCCTGCCAGAGAAGCCACAGTTCCAACCCCACATCTTCCTCACGACAGAAACCCACCTTCCCTACAGAGCCCAGCCCTCCAGCTTTGCAGAGGCCCAGACCCCCATCCTGCCTGGCTCCCCCTGGCCCACGGAAAAGGACCAGGCTGACAACACTTCCCAGGCGAGGCCCACAGGCCCATGTGTACCCCTGCCATTGACTACCCCTCCCTATGGCCAGCTAAGGAGCGAGATAAGGGGTCCGGGGACCACCTGGCTTAGCAGAGGCTCCATTCAGCGCCATTAACCTGAACCCTGCAATTCCTGTCTCCTGCTCCCCCATCTGCCTTCCTCCTTCTTTCTTCCCGGACCTTGCTGATGTAAGCTTTGCCGACTGGAGGGGGGGCCTCACGCCTGATCCAGACTGTAACTGGCTTAAGACACCAGCAGGGCCGAGACAGCACATAGGTGTGTGCTCACACTCACACTCACACACGCAGAGGAAGGCACCAGCTCCTGCTCCCTCTCAGCTAGAACCACCAGCCTCCTCTGTCCGTGCATGACCCTGATCGTTGCCACTGCGGGGTCCAGCCTGGCTGCTCTGCCGGACCCCCGCCTGCCTGTGCACACGACAGAGCTCGGTCCAGCACAGCCTCACCTCGTCATGCCACTTGGCCCTGTCCCCAGCAGCCACAGCTCCTCCTCCATGGTCCTGGCCCTGGAGAGCCATGATGTGCGAAAGGAAGAATGATCAAGCAGGACGGCATCCCCCTCAGGTCACCTTGGGCCCACGGTGAGGATGAGGCCAGCTCCCCTATGAGGCTGGGGGCCCGGCAAAGAAAAGCACGCAGGGAGGGGAAGTAAAGCAAGCCCCCCCCCAGATTCAATAGGGCCACTCTGGGCTTAGCAGAGAACCTCTGGAGATGGCTTGCAGGCACCTTGATGGACCGCAGCCCTGGCTCTCCAGGCACACACAGTCTAGAGGAGGGCAGAGCTGGTTTAACCTCGCCAGTCACGGGATGCTCTAGAAGCAGGAAGGACTCTCAAGTTGGAACACAAGGCAGCTTCTGACCAGAAGGATTTCCCCAACGATGCCTGGGAGCTTCAAAGGCGCTACAGCAGACATGAGCATCAGCGGTGACCAGCCTCATACAGCCTCCAACGCTGTGTCCGAAATGCCAGAGGGGGTGCCAGGGTAGACAGGAGGCATGACTGCCACCCTCAAAAACATCAGAACTGGGCCTGTCGCAGTGGCTCACACCTGTAATCCCAGCACTTTGGGAGGCCAAGGCGGGTAGATCACTTGAGGTCAGGAGTTCGAGACCAGCCTGGCCAACATGGCAAAACCCCGTCTCTACTAAAAATACAAAAATTAGCCAGGCGTGGTGGTGCATGCCTGTAATTCCAGCTACTTGGGAGGCTGAGACAGGAGAATCGCTTGATCCCAGGGGGCAGAGGTTGCAGTGAGCCAAGATCGCGCCACTGCACTCCAGCCTGGGCAACAGAGCAAGACTCCATGTCAAAAAAATAAAATAAAATAAACAAATTTAAAACATCAGAGCTACACACAGGCTCTCAGTCACAAGGTAGGATCTACCCTGCCTGGTGTACAGATGGCTTCAAGTAGCATCTATAGGGGACAAGGGCCACACTACACCATTCTCACTCTTGACTCCGGCCCTCCCTCTAGTTGAAGAGCTAACTGCCTGTTATGGATTGAACTGTGTCCCCCAAAAAAGATATACTGAAGTTCTAACCCCCAGTACCTGTGAATATAACCTTATTGAAAATCGGATCTTTACAGATATAATCAAGTAAAGATGAGGTCATTAGGATGGTCCTTAATTCAATAGGACGAGTATCTTTATAAGAAGGGAAGGCAGGCCGGGCACAGTGGCTCCCGCCTGTAATCCCAGCACTTTGGGAGGCTGAGGCGGGCAGATCACCTGAATTTCAAGACCAGCCTGGCCAACATGGTGAAATCCTGTCTCTACTAAACATATAAAAATTACCCGGGCGTGGTGGTGGGTGCCTGTAATCCCAGGTACTCGGGAGGCTGAGGCAGGAGGATCGCCTGAACCTGGGAGGCAGAGGTTGCAGTGAGCCAAGATCATGCCACTGCACTCTAGCTTGGGTCTCAAAAAAAGAAGAAGGGAAGGCAACAATATAAAGACACACACAGTGAGAATGCCCGTGACAATGGAGGCAGACACAGAAGTGATTCGGCTACAAGTCAATATATGCTGAGGCCTGCCGACCCCAGCAGAGCTTAGAAGAGGCGAGGAAGGATTCCTCCCTAGAGCGTTTGGAGAGAGTATGGCCCCGCTGACACCTTGATTTTGGACTTCTGGCCTCCAGAGCTGAAATAATAAATGTCTGTGGCTTTAAGCCATCTGTGGTCCTTGGTAACGGCCACCCTGGGAAGCGAATGCAATGCCCAAGCCTCAGGTTCCAGCCTTGGCATAGAGAGCCAAAAACAAGGAAGATGAACTAAGTCCTGCTTCTGCCTCGCCACCCCTGCTCTGATCAGCTATGTTCAGCCTTGTCCTGCCTCAGGACAATGACATTTACACATGAGCCACCCTCCCAAGGACGGCCAGGCACAGCCCAGCCCAGCCACCAGCTGGCACCGAGATAAGACAGAGTGAGTGACGCGGTGCTTGATGCAATTCTATCCCCTTCTCTCCCACTCAGGCAAACATATCACACACGAGGAGGTGAAAGTGATGTGATTCTATCAAGCGACAACCTTAAATGTGCTCTGATGACAAGCAAAAGGTAAATCCTTAGCCCAGGTGACAACTTCCTTGTGGCCCACCGGGATCTGTCTTGCCACCTGTCATGGCACTGAGATTGAAAACTGTACCCCTCAAGCAACCCAGCCCCACACCCACATGCAACTCTAAGGACATGGGGTCCCAGACCCACACAGGAAACCCACAAGGGCCCATGAGAGGAAGGGTTGGAGAGGGAGACAGCTTGGAAAGCAGAGAAGGGAAAAAGGGTGGAGAGAGGCCGGAGGCAGATGACGTACTCAGTTGAAAGAGAAGGGGGTGAGGGCAGGCTGTAGGGCCACGTCAGCCTCTGCCACCCAGGGGGAGTCCTGGAGGCACTGCCTGTTCTCACACAGTGCTGAGGTTCCCTGCTCTGGGATTCTTTCCCTAGAAGCACGGGAGATTCTGGGGCAGATGGGAGGGCTCAGGGAGACCAGGAAGCATCCTAGCCAGCTTTGGTCAAATGCAAATTTCAGGAGGAAATAGTCAAAGGGGCTTGAGTGGAAGCTGAGAAGTCAAAGGGCATGGTTCACCCAGATGGAACGAGACAGACCCCAGGGGGAGCCCCTGTGGCAGCACCCAGGCCTGCAGGGTCCTCGCCTCCACCCTCGGAGGGCTCGCCCCAGACCATCTTGAGGTCACTGCAGCCGCCACGTCTCACACATGGCTATGGAGAGTACCCCACACCTGGAATCAAGTGATTCCTGGGTTCCAGTTTGGCTCTGCCTGCTACCCAGCTGCAAGGTCCTGGTTAAGTTACCTCACTGTGTATTGTTTACTTCACCTGCAAAGATAGGAGTAATAATGAACTGAGGAATTAATAACAGCTGGGGACGGATGAGGTGGCTCACGACTAATCCCAGCACCTTGGGAGGCCGAGGTGGGTAGATCACCTGAGGTCCGGAGTTCGAGATCGGCCTGGCCAACGTGATGAAACCTTGTCACTACTAAAAATACAAAAAATTA